CACAAAACAAGGAGTAAGTCATACTTTAGCCATAGTTACTCAAGACTCGTGGGTGAACCCCACCACTGAAAGCAGCAGTTCTGCTGTTTCCACTTCTGTCTGTAACCTCTGTAAGGTGTTGGTCGTTGTGCTCATGATAAAAGTGAGATTAAATAGATACCTTGGGAGCGAGGCTGTTGAAAGTGGGAATCACAGGGTTTGTGGGGGTGAGGGGATAGGGTCAGGCTTCACGAGATCTGTGTGTCACAAGTGATTTTACCAAACTGGGAGTGAAACCTGAATTTTAGGAGAGGGAGGAGACAGAAGGAAGGCAGCTGTTTGCAGCAGGATCAAGCACACGCTGCAGGTGTTCAGGAATGCATTTGCAGAAGCACTTCCTGCATAAAGCTGGAAGCTGAGCTGAGTTGAAATAAAACAGTGTATTTGTATTTTCTATTTTCTTGTTCTTGTTGCATAATGGGATATTTGAAATGGGGAGTTTGAACTAGTTGACCTTTTATGTCCCTTCCAACCCATGCGATTCTATTTCTAAATGGAGATTGCTGCTCTGGGCTGGTTGCCCTATACTGATGACTACTGGAGAATAATGTGAAGGCCAACATCTTCTGGTCTTAATTTATCTGAACATGTCTGCTCTGCCCTGGAATGAGTAATGGAAGTATTTGAAGGTAAATTTCTGGTCAGGTAAGGTAAAAATAATCGAAACGATTGCTAGATACAGGCAGTAGCCACCGCCATCACCGCCATAAGGAAATGGAAGAGTATTAAATTGATATTTTTTTTCCATGTTTGTTTGGGGAAGATTATTATCAGGTGCTGGTGAAAGAGCATTTAGTGCTCCATTAATAGCTAAGGACTAGATTAAATGGCAACCACATAAGTCAAATATTTTATAATTAGCCAATCAAGGTAATTTATAGTCAAGAGTTTCAGCGCTCTTGGAATGAGAAACGTGTTGGGCCATTTCTGCTGATATATCACTGTGGGACATTGGAGAGGTTTTAGAGGACTAAGAAAACTGGTATCTGCTTGTTATTTAAAAGGATTGAGCAAATGGTGTGGGAAATACCAGGACTGTTACCTTGTCGCTGTCGCAAGAAAGAAATAGTGGACGCATCACTTGGTTTGTGATTTAAAAGGACATGAAATTATGCATTTATAGCAAACAAGCCTTGTCAAATCAATTTGCTGTTGCTCTCCCGTAAGAATAAGCAACTCCTCAATGTTACTGATTTCTGAAAGCATTTGATTCATCAGAGGTGAATTTAAGTAAATAAATAAATAAAAGTATAAAATCAACATGGTGCAAATTGAGTAGTTCTAGTTGATTAAAGAGAGATCTCAGAATGTCACTGTAAACAAATCCTTGAGTCTCATTGCAGGAAAATCCAATGGAAACAGGTTAAATATTGATTTGTATTAAGTATTGCTGTTGATTTGGGGTGAAACAGAGAATCATTGATGACTTAATTTGTAAGGTTAGATCCTTACACAGACTTAGATGATTGAGGGTATGTAGACATATATAAACAATGAAGAGGACAGTCCATGGACACAGATATGCCTTGATCTCTGCATGGGAACTGGGAGCAAATGGGCAGAATGTAATTCAGTGTGGAAGGGCAAAGGGTAGAGCTAGGAACAAAATCAGAGGCTGATGAGGTAACGAAGACCAGCCTGGAAATTCATTATTTTTCATTAAGTTAATAACTTCATATTGGTACTGCATTAAATTATAGTGCCTATACCATCATGAATGAAGACAATGAGGTTCTTTACAATTTATTCAAAGACAGGAGCTGGGGAACATCAAATACAGCCAGTAGAATCCGTGTTCCTGAGAAGATACCACTGCTCACAGCATGTAGTTAAGCCTTGAAACTTCTCAAGGAACTCACTTTAATTATGGGAAATGATGGTTGTGGCTGACATGGTGGCTGTAGATACGTAGGTTGCTCCGAAAGTAATGCTCTCATTTATTTCCGTGGAAACTACAGCAGATAAAAAAGCACAATAACACTATTTGATAGCGCAAATTCTCAGCTCCAAACACGATTTTTCAGCGTAGTCTCCTGGTCACATATTAGTATTGTTTCAAACCTATGAGACACTACAGATGTCTCAGATACTCCAGGAAACATCAGAGAGCTCTAAATACCTTTGTGTATGATTGATTTAAGCCCGAGGTATCAATTTTTACTACGGTGTATAATTGTTCAAAGAAGTTACTAGGAGTTATTGTGGATTCTCCACTGCTTAAAATCAAGGTGGGACCTTTTTTTCTAATACTTACCTGAAAGAAGACTGTTTCTAACAGAAACCTGGGCCTGGGTTTTCCTTCATGCATGTAGCTATACACAGTGATCTCCCATTTTCCCACTGCCAGTTGTATCTTGAGCACTGCACTATGCACAGTCACTTTGCTATTTCCAGCCCCAGATTCAGAACTTTCCTCAGTTGGATTGCTCTCTTTGTACTGTGCTTATTTCTGCTCAGTGCAGACAAGTTAGCAAAAAAAATTCAGTCCAGGTTTTAGTGCGCATCCAAGCAGGCGATTTTGGTAGGTGGAGACTCAAGGCAGCCATTCCATATAGGAAAACTTTGGCTTAAGGCAATGATGCAAAACACAAGAGAGGCACTAGGAGGAATCACAGTAGTCAAAATCAAACAATCCCAGTCAGTTTAAAGTTTGTTACCTTTCAGAAACTGGCCGTTTGGTTACACCAGGATATAGTACTGTGGAACAGGTGCTGTAGTACTCAAAGACATATGGGCTCCTTTAACACATACCAAGGAAGAATTTCCTTGATTTCTTCAAATAATTTCAGGTAATTTTCCAGCTGTTGAGGCATACCTCAGAGTGAACCATTCATGTACACAGTGACTGTGGTATGTGACTGATTGGCACATGCCAAAGATTGGCAATGAAAGTACTAACCAAGAGCAAGTAAGAGAAAGCCTGTATGCATTCATGAGGCTCTACAGACTCTACATATGCAAAAATGGGTGTAAGTGCAAACTAAACAGGAAGCAGAGCTGGAAAGCTTTGACTGGAATTTAGGGGGCCAAAACTGGCAAGTAAAGGAAGTACTGTATATCCCCTGGAGCAGTGGTCTTCTGCAGTCATAACCTCATCCTCTGTCTCAGCAATATCTCTGACGTGGCTTGGTTAGAAATGTGAACTTGGAAGTCTGGTCAGCTCATGGCTGGTGAAATCAGCTATGACATGGATGAGACGGAAAGACCAAAGGTACAAAGGCGTAAGGAAGATACATTCAGCCTAGAGCTCAACTCAGAAATTGCCACTGAGAACCACCTACAGAAGATCCATCAAGCGTTGATGTTGATCACCTTAACACCCAGATGGTAGGCAGCCACTGGGCTTGTGTGTAGGAGGACATTCTCCATGTGGCCATTGATAAGCACAGGGGATAGGTAAAAAGGCGTATCTTCAGCATGCATACCTAGAGCTGAGCCAAGGTTGAAAAGAAAGGGCAGTCAAGGAGAATTAGTTTTAAAAAGGAAATAGCACTGAAATATTCTTGTGAAAGTCCAAATCAAGATGTCCTTTTAGAACAAATGCTAAGAAAGAGGAACTCCAGAGCATTAAGGCCAGCCTCCCTTCTTTCATAGAAGGTCAGCCTGAGGAGATGGGTGAAATATCACCAGACTCTGCACAGATGACTGATCAAGAGATGGAGAGATTTGCGGTGTTTGGGAGATTATAATGCTTCAGGAGCTGTGTGACAAAAAGAATCTTGCTGGCAGAAGTTGCAAAGAAGGGTCAGGAAGCTGAAGAAGTCTGAGGGGCTGAGAGTAGATTGGTGGAGCTGTAGCATGGATCATTGACCTAGTAAAGCAATTGTATGTTATTAAGAAAGAAGAGATCTCACAGACAGGGAAAAGTGGATCCTAGGAAGCAAAAACCCATTATGACAGCCTTCGAAATTCTGTGCATTTGAGCATTCTGAGCGAATTCCTCAATGTGTTCCTTGTTGGAGTATTCAGAAGGTATATTCAGTCTCCACAAAGCAAGAGGGACAGTAGAGCAGAAGCAGTGCAAGAGGCTGATTGCTGACAAGTTGAGAGATACCAAGAAGAAGAACTTCAGTTGCATAATTTCAAAAAGTCATTTGACTTAATGTGTTGCAATAGCTATGTGGAGTGCCCTAGGGCTATATGATATGTGTAAGGAGCTGCTGAAAAACATTATGAAGAGGTGAGGTCAGCAGTCCTGGTCAAGAGCAAGCTGAACAACTGGTTCATCACAATGACTGGTAACAGACAGGGTGACCTGATAGCTCACAGCGACTTCTGGAGCTGCCTGTAGAAAGTGAAGGATGGAGTTATAGTCACCAAATATTTGGTGCAAAGTCAGACAAGGAGATCAAGAGCCTCAGGATAATCACGTCTTTTGGTGGTGCCAGTTCATCAGATGTGCCAAGTCAGGTTGCTGTGTCCCACGGTAAGTGATGCAGATTAAAAATTGATGTAGGCCAGACAACAACCAGGAGGAAAGGCAGAACGGATGAGAACTACACGAGCAGGTAGCAACAGGGCAGACAAGATGGACAATCCTATTTATCTGAGAAATTTCATCACGCAGAACAGCAACGGATATCTCTATGGTGATCTGAAGGGGGGTGCAGCTGATGCCAGTGGATGTAGACCACCTGAAACAGTCACAAAGAGACCAAGAAAAATGGATACAAAAATCAAGCTAATTAGCAGTCCCTGTTCTTACTCTGTGTGAAGAGAAATGGATTTTCAGGAAGTCAAATCACAAAAAAACCCAGTTGGTATTTGCAACAAATTATTAGACTGTCAGACCATGTCAGAAATAAAGCAGTGTGCGATAGAACTTAAAGTAAGTCAGTGAGGTGCGCAAATTCCTGTGATCTGGCTGCTGGATGGCTGGATAATCACTTTTGAGGTACCCTGCTATGGTAAAGGGAAAAGAACTAAGATGGTGGTGGTAGGAACACAAGTATCACTTTTCATTTTGATTTTTTTTTTCTTTAAAATTTTGTCAACAGAAAAGCAGGCCTTTGGATACTGAACTTATACCTACCTTTGTAAGATGATGCTTCTTAACCATAGTTCGTAGACACTTTGGGTCTGTGGTATGTGGACCTGAGAAGGAGAATAGATGACATAAGGAAATGAGTCTGTATTTGCTGAACACAGTGGTGTGCTTATATGGCCACCAGTCAATGGGACAAAAAAAAAAAAAAGGGAAAATGTCTCTGAAAATGCAAGTGACATAGACAAGGTAGCTGAGAAGGAAGCATAAGTCTTTTACATGCAGCAGTTTCAGGTTCATCCTTGGGCAATAAAGCCACCTGGAGTTTCCAAACACTGGACCTGGACCTATCTTTGTCTGTGACACCAGGTCGCTCTGATGGACCAGATGGAGAGAGTTCTGCCAGACAGCAATCAACACCAAGCAAAGAAGAGGCAAAACCACATTTCCACATTCTCCTCTTGATGAATCTGGGTAAGTAAGTCTTTTTGCAAGTCTCTGCTAAACAGAAAATTCATGTTACATAGTCCCGAATTTTTGGATGGGAAACCTAAAAAAAGTAATCGAATGTGCGGCATAGAGAGAAGCAGATGATTTAATCTGGGTTGCAGGAAGGGTGAACATGATAGAGGTGATTGAGCAGCATCAAAGGATGACAATCAATTTGAATTTCCCTAGAAGTGATGTTGATGCCTGTGTTGCTTCTCCCTGTGCTTTCTCTTTAATTAAATACCGAATGTTCCGTTAGTAGTTGGAATAACACGATGTTCCTGGGGAAAAGAAAACCCGAGTAATCCCTTTATCTGCTAAAATAGATGATTTCTAGTAGATTAAACAATGGCCTTTCAGCTACCAGAGCAGAGTTCAGGCCATAATTGAAGTCCTCTCCTTGGCCTCTCCTCGGTCCCTCGCAGCCAGCAGTCCGTAGAGCCCCATCATCAGAGATAACCTCAGTGACTCTTGTCTGCAGTGAGTGTTTCTCCAGATGAGGAGATTAGCTTGAGATAAAGCATATTACCTGAAAATAATAAGTGATTACGGTCCCGGACTGTCTCTCCACATTCATTTCATGCTGGTTAACCCTTGCAAAACTGGCTGTTGGCAGGGTTTTAGGTCTTTAAAGAAGGAGGGGGCGGTGAGGGAGGGTTTCCCATGTCTGAGCAGAGAAAAAGGAGATTTTTTTTCCCTTTCACTCTCTTTTTTTTTTTTTTTTTTTGCCTTGTATGGATGTTCCTGGGCATGGCAACAAGCACTCAGCTCTGGTGTTGCTTCAGTCTGTGGTGCACAGAGTGGCCAGGGCTGTGCCTTGGAAAAAAACAAATGTGCAGTGCCATCACCCTTATTCTGGGGTTAGCAGTGCTCTCCCATTCCCTGGCACAGCACACAGGCTACAAGCTTTGCAGTGGGCAGTTTTCATGGGACCAGTTTTCTGGGATGTGAGCTCAAGGATGAAGAACAGCCCTCTGATGGTTTTTCTACCATAGATGTAGCTGTTGAGATAGGACAAAAGGAAGTGATTTCAGACTAAAGGAGAGGAGATTTAGACTGGATGTGACAAAAAAAGATTTTTTTATGATAAGGGTAGTGAAACATTGGCACAGGTTGCCAGAGAGGTAGTGGGTGCCCCATCCCTGGAGACAATCAAGGTCAGGCTGGACAGGGCTCTGAGCACCTGCTGGAGCTGTAGGTATCCCTGCTCATTGCAGGGGAGTTCGACCAGGTGACCTCTAAAGGTTTCTTCCAAATCTATGATTCTGTGATTGTGACTTGACAACACAACATTCATTGCTTCTGTTCCCATCAATAGGAAATCCAGAGAAATGCCAAAGAAGCTCGCAGGGGATGATGGCAAATTGTCTGTTTATCCATGAGGAAACACATGAGTGTGTCGTGGGTTTCTAGAAATTCACGTTGTTTGCCTAGAGAGGATGGAGAGAAGAAATATAAAAGAAAAAATTCAGACTGAAGAAATGCCTTGAAATCTGCTTATGGGGTGTTGGTGTTGTCACTCCTGGGCATATGCTCCTATGCTGCAGAAACTAAATGTCCTGATGGGAAAACCTTTCGGCCCCGTTCAAGCGGCTGGGAATTTTGTTAATCACTCAGTAGTGGCACTGCCTGCATTTCATTCCCAGGAGGCACCTTCCCAGCTCTCATGCCATTACAGCATCCTCTGTCTGTCATCGCGCTGCTCCCTGGGAGCGAGGGACGAGCAACTTCATCCTTCTTCCTCTAAACGCTTCATCAGCCGCTCCCCTGAAAACTGTAAATAAAGGCCGCTGGGGATAGCTTTTCTGCTTGACCCCTCACCTGAAATGAAAATAGAGGTGGCTGGATTTCATCCTGGTGTGGAGCTCCTTCCCGGGCCGGCTCTTTCCCGTCACTGTTGACAGTTACCTGCCAAGCCCCACAGTTACCTTTGATTTTGCCGTAATGACATCTCGGTACTTAGGATGGCTCTGGGCTCATAATCCTCTCTGCAGCCTTAACCAATTTATGAGTAACCTGAGAGCAGGCTCTCACTTCCTTGTGATTTTGCCTCTTGTTAAATACACTAAAGGTATCAACAAACTGAGCTTGCTGCAGTAATGTGGCTATTGAATGCCCAGAGTGTGCAATTATTGAATGCACATCTGCTATAAATCTCTGCTTTTAGAGGGTAGCTGCATGTGCTTGCCACATTAAAACTGCATTATGTTTTCTTTTCCCAGTGTGTGCTGCTGAAACAAGTGCTTTGTTAGCAATAAGCAGGCAGTGCTCCAAAGAGATGCTAAGAGCAGGAGGGAACATTGAGCAAAGCAGGATTTATCCACAGATTTGCTTTGTCTGTGAGTGCTTTGTCTTTAAAATCCTTCAAGACAAAGTCCTTTATCTGTCTGGTGTGTTTGGAGGGTAAGCACTTCAGGGTTTTCTGTTGGCCTAACAGCTTCTATAATAACTCTGTCTGATCTCTGGAGGACCTACCTGTGCATGCACAGTGCACTTATAAAAGAGCTTCATGGCCGTGAGCAGTCTTGGAATTAGAGGACACAAGCCATGACTCCCCATATGCATGAATTGGCTCCTCTAAAGGAAATTTCTGGGCAGATGATTTACACAGGGGCGGAAGTAGGAGGGGGATCCCTGAGGAAAGCAAACACTTGAGACTTCAAGGTGAGGTGAGTTTGGTGGCACGCTTCTCTAATGTCCATCTGATCCAGGAGGTGCCCACTTCCTAAGCACAGATCAAAGACAAAAGGTGACTTCTGAAATGACATGCAGCCACCTCTCGCATTGCTTAAATTCTCTCCCTCTGCTAACGTTTGATCTCATTTTACTTCTCCTGTCAGTGGAAGCAGGTGGTTGCTTTATTCTCCCTGACAAGTTTGGGTCAGCTAATGGATGCAGTGGGAAAGAGACCTGGATGTGGAATCAATCCAGACCTTGGTTCAGTCAGTGCAGAGGCTCCTCTTCACTGCAGTTGCTTTTGGGTGAGCTCTCGATTTTGACTGGTTGTGATCCTGCCAAACCTTTAAGGTGTGATTGTGTATCAACGTGGGAGTCACAAAAGCCCAGACAGCTACAATCTAGCTGATAGAAAGAGAGGGAATATCTTCAGGTTGCACCAAGGGAGGCTGAGGTTGGATATCAGTAAAAACTTCTTCTCCAAAAGAGGGGTAATGCATTGGAACAGGCTGCCCAGGGAGGTGGTGGAGTCACCATCCCTGTAGGTTTTCAAGAAGCATGGAGATATAGTACTTAAAGACATGGTTTAGTGGGCAGTATTGGTGGTAGGTGGAGAGTTGGACTAGATGATCGTAGGGGACTTTTCCAATCTCAATGATTCTATGATTCTATGAAGCTCCTTGACATGGAGGCATACGTGCTGAGGATTTTCCATGACGCACCACAAATGCACAGCCCCCTTGTATTGACTGATGCAAAGGGCTCATGTTTGCTTTTCTGTGCTCTCAGCTCTCCATGGTGGCTCTACTGATTGCTGGTGAAAACACCAGACTCTTGATCAGCAGATCTGTGGCACATGTGATTGCAGGTGGTGGGCACAAGCCAAGCCAATATTGTTGAGTTAGATCAGGAGCCTCTCTGAGACTTGGCTTGTTTGCAAAGCTCTGCTCTGATTTGGCCTGCTATTCATAACATACGAGTAACATACGAGGCTGTTCTGCCCTGCTCCTTTAGCCTAACTCCAATTTTAACCTTCTCCTTCCAAGGAGAAAGGGTAACAGAATTTACTAACAGGCAAGCTCTTAACAAAGCCTTGGATATCTGATACATATAATGGTCCCAGAGGCATGTTTACTTTGGACTGAGTGAGTGAGTGAAAACCATTCTGGAAGGGCTTTTTCACCCCCAGTGACTTAAACCTAACGAGGAGAAAAGTGATGTGGTTAAAGAGCTATTTAAACAGCAGCATTAGTGAGCAGAGTTAGTTCTCCAACAATACATGTATGTATTTACCTCCCACAGGTGCATAAATATGCATTGATTTGTATCGTGGTACACAGAATACTCACACATAGGCAGTGATGAGATTTTAGCAGTCCTCTGCTGATGGATGCTTGTTGGGGGAAAGAGTGTGAGCAAACAGTGGATTGTTTTTAGGAAGCTACAGCAGAAGTGCCTGAGGACTTGGGACATGACCACTGAGTTCACCAGCTGCAAGGAGACTTTCAGGGATGTGATTTAGGTGGCTGGAAGAGAGCTGCTACAGGTGCCCAAGTGTGGCTGCAGGTGGAAGGGCACTGACTGCATCACTCGGTGCCATAAATGCCTGCACCAAAATATGCAGAAAATTGGAGAAAAGCATGAAATAGACTCTATGGGGAACCCTGTCATGCTGGACGTGCTGCACTGTGACAAGAGTTCATGTTTTTAGACCCAAATGGATGACTGACCTCGTGCTGACAGAATGGGCTGTCAGCACTCGTCCCTTGAAGAAGAGTCTCCCCTTTGCACTTTATCTCCTGGTGGTGATAACGGGAAGGGAGATGTGCAGATTACACCCTGCCTCTTTCACACGATGGGGGTCCTGCTTGCCGAGCACTTCCCTCTTTCAACAACCTCACAGGGGCAATGGATCTTATTCCCAGCCCAAAGAGCACCTGTCAAGAACTGGGCTGACAGGAGGTATGTCCTCCTTGGCCATGTTTTCTTGCAGTTAATTCATAATAACTGAGATGGTTGACCCAAACCTTGCCAGCACCCCGCACAAGAGCCTTGCAGGCTTAGATAGCAGTGTTGTCATCTCAGGAGTGGAAAAAGACAGCAGGTAGAGGAAGATAGGGCCAAAGTGAAGTGAAATCTCTCTTTGTGTTACCAGGGTCTCACTGAGGCTATGAGACTGACTTTGTAGAGGTATATAGCTACCTCTGAGCACAGGAAAATGTCCAGCAGTGTGCCAAGAAGGAGCTGTACTGATCAGGTACACAAATCTCATTGCTTTATTTTATCACTGAGGTCACTGACTGTAATTTAAACTCGTCAGGGCCTGAACTCTGCTGTCACACACTTGGTCTCTGGAAAACTCGCTCCAGATGCTGTTAAAACATACCATTTGCCTTTGACAATCTGGTCCCAGCTGGCACATTGGCCTTGCTGTGGTTTCATTATGCCCACTCACAAAGCATGATGTGAAGGGGTCAAAAGCACCAACATCCTCTGGAAACTTTTCTGGTTGTTTGAGGTGATCAGTGCCTGAAGAAACAGGGGCACTTCCATTCAGGTGCCTGATTTATGCCCCTGGCCCTGGAAATCTCACCTCTCTGGAGTATTGCCAATTATCTTATTAGATAAGATTTCTTCTGCAGGTGTTTATAAAGCAACGCTGATCATCAGTATTAGCTTCTTCCTTTGTGATGGGCAGCCTGCTATAGAACCAGCATGTTGGGTACAGTCATGTGGGGTAAAATGAAGCCTTCTCAATGGACTGCTCCAAGAGTAGAGGTGCTTTCAAAAACATATGGAAAGTGTTCAGCTGGGAAAAGATGGGGAGGAAAACGCACAGCAAGAGCTGCCTGGCCAAACAGCTGCCAGCCAAGCAACCCATTCACAGAATCATAAAATCATAGAATCATTAAGGTTAGAAAAGACCTCCAAGATCATCTAGCCCAATCACCAGCCCAACCTATCATGCCCTCTAATCATGTCCCTCAGTGCCACATCTCCACAGTTCCTGAACACCTCTAGGAATGGTGACTCCACCACCTCCCTGGCAGCCTGTGCCAATGCATTAGCACTCTTTCTGACCCCTTCTTGTGCACTGAGCAGTGTGTGTGGGGATGCCAGGGAGGGATGTGATGTGTGAGCATCCTTCTGCCAGTTCCTTTGTAACGAGAGTTGTGGGGAACATTTCAGGGAGTTGGTATCATGGGAGAGGTAATGGCATTACACTGCATAGGCACCTGTAAGGAAGTTATGAAAGAAGTCACTAAGTGCATAAAAACACTAAAAAAAAGAAAGGCATGTGGTTTGTTGACTTTTTCTTCATATCTGAATTAGCAATGGAGAGGCACATATGCTCACTCAGAGCAGGGGAAGATGAGAGCTGGGTATTAGGTTCCCACCCACTTCTAATTGGGATCCTGTTGGTAATTATCAGCTCCACCATTTGGTATCAGGAAAGAAGAAATGGGAAGCAATAGTGGGCTGCTCCTGCATGACCTATGCTGGCAATGTGCCTTTTAATTTCATGTGAACTGCGCCTGCGAGAAGACGGAAGGATCAAGCCATCATCAAGGAAGATTAGAATTTGGAGCCAGGTTTTGGAAATTGTTTCCTATCTCAGTAATGAATCAGACACCTTAGGTAAAATTCGGATCCTACTGAATAAGCATTTTGGGTTTTTTTAAGTTTAGCATGGCCAGGATTTCACTAATGACACCAAATGTAGGCAAGCACTGGTGTGCCTGCAGCTTGGAGCTAGCACCAGTATTATAGCACCAGTATTATACCCTAAAACTGTATCTCATTTATATTAGTCTCTGGATCTGATTCTGTTTTCTCTGTATGGGAGTTTGTCTGCTGAGTTAAAGGTGATGGGACAGTCCCTCCTGTGCTGTGGTGCTGTGCAGGATGCTGAGATGGTAAGAGTGAGTTTCCTCAACGTATGTAAGTCTCGATTATTTTAGAGTGCAGATTGGTTTCATTTACATCAGGAAAAGGATTCTTTCTCCCTTCTCTGGAAGGAAGACACTCTTGAGAGCTTACTGATATTTTTGTGTTTGACTTTAAGGCAGAAGTTTGTTCCTAATTAATTGAATAAGTGCTTTAATCCCTGGCCTGAGGGCTTCCCATAGAGCATTAGCTGTATTAAGAAGGAAATGGAGTGTAATCCCTTTAATATAAGCACAGGAGAACACGAGAGTTTCACATTTCTAGAAATAATTTCTTTCCTTGTTTTTCTTGTTTATCCTGATATTCATTTGCATAAAATACAGCAGGGATGAAGGGCTTCTCCTTCTGCCTGGCTCCTGTGCTGAGGTGCCAGCAACACGTGGCTCTGGCATTGGCATCCTTGGGCTCCGGTTATGCACTGATGCATAACGGGGTGAAAAGAGAAACAGCTCTGGAATTCAGCTCATTCCAATGGTGCCTGTGAAACCAGCTCCGTGACTGCTTTGCTCTGTATCCAGTGTGCTACGAGTGCAGAGCAAAAAGGGATTTTCTGTCCCAGTGTGGGGAATCAGAAACCCTTCAGAAATCAGTTCCCATAGGCCAGGGCCCTCTCCACATCCTTCCAAAGAAACTGCTTTTCAGTAAAGTCAGACCAGGATCCTGGAGCCGAGATGTCGTCTTTCTGACTCATGCATCATCACTGGCATTTACCACTATCTGCATTAACTGCAGTGCAGGAGAATCTCCTTTCTGCTCTGATATCCAGGCTCAAATGTGGCTACAGAAATTGGACTCTTGGATGAGATTCAGCTGACCAAACCTATGCTTTCCGAGAAAGCAGTTTATTTCTTCCCAAAATATGTGTCTCCACTGGTCACATGAATCAGGCTAAATGAGCCAGGAGGCCAGGAAGGTTCAGCTCAGAGGGAGACATCCTCTTTGTAGACATCTAAAATGAGTTGAAATTAGTCTTGGATGAGATGGATCCAAAGGTAGTTAATGCTTGATGTTTATGAAAGAGTAATTACTGCTTTGTGGGTATGGGACAGAAGACTGCCCCCCCTCAAGGGCTCAGAAAGGGGCTTTGCCCCTCTCCCGTGTTCCCAGCTGAAGGAGCAGGTAGCAGCTCCCCGTGTTTGCCTTGAGGTGGCTTCTCCCCAAGAAGCCCTCATCCCACACATGAGGGCAAGGTCCCCTCCCACCAACGCCTCCAGTGTTCTAGATTGCAGGTGTCTCACAAGGGGCAGGAGGTTTCCCTTCTCCATGGAAACCCTGCTGCCACCAAACATATCCCACCGTGCACATACCAAGGCGCTTCTCCTGTCCTGGGAAGGGACACGGAGGTTCACCTCTCTGCCTTTTGGCAGCTGGTGGTGAGGTGCTGTCATCTCATCTCTGCTGGATCCTGCCAAGCTTCATCTCCTGAGCTGTCTGGCTCCATAGGTGCTCGTTGCTGGATGTACACACTTTGCATCACTGAGATTGGATGATGTCAGTCATACTCCAAACACCGGTTTGGGGTACGCAGGGGTCCTACAGCCACATCTAAATCCCCTTTTTCCTTCCAGGACTCACACCAAGTCTCTAGATCCCTTGCCCCTTGGGGCAGAGGGGAGGAGAAGATCTGGTATGCCAGCTGTTGATGGAATGACTTCTTCTGGTCCAGGTTCCTGGTTCACCACAGAGGATGCAATGAGGAAACCAGTGCATTCGAAGGTGAAAAACAAAAGGGGTTCCCTCCCTCCCTGGAGTTTGAGTAATGGAATTGCAGTCTGCCAGGTTGGGAAGATAAGAGGAGCTGGTGACAACAGGCTTCTGGGTCCTGGCCAAAGGCAGCCACTCGTCTGGGAAGCCCGGAGGGAGAAATGAGTGAAATGCTGGAATAGAGTAATGAGGATATAGAATATGTTCTTGCACATAATGAATGACACTGCTGGCAAGGCACAAGGAACCTTCTTAAGATGCTGTGTGCTGGCGCAGTTATTGGTTCCTTTTATCTCAGTAGGTGCTTTAAGTATTTCAACTTTGTCCAAAGCACCAAAGTGAGCCTGAAGGCTCATCTCACCCGCTTTCCTGTCTCCAGCAGTGAGCTGTGGCAGATGCCAAGGGGAGAGCACGGGAAACAGGATGAGCACATAGTGCTTCCTCCCTAAAGTCCTCTGCACGTCCCTAGAAGTTTACACTGCATTTGTTTTTGGTCTCCAGGCTGGTGTTGCAGCCTTAATATCCCTTGGTGGAATTTTCCTCCATAATTTCTCCAGTTGCTTTACAAAATATATATTGACATTTGCCAGTGCTTGACTTTAAAGATGTGAGGAGCACACAAGAAGTACTGAAATGTGAGATGGAAGCTTAACCTCTGTGACACTGGACCTCAGCAGTGATGAAAATATATTAGCAGCTTTATGCTTGTGCATTGAGTATCTCTCTACTTGTGCCCTGAGTAGTCCAGGGAGGCTTGAGAAAGGCACTATGGTGGTCTTCCTAGGACTAGAAGAACCTGAAAGCTTCTTGCCAAAAGATCTTGGACCTTCCTGGTCACCCTTCTTGAGGTTTAACTAAGCGAGGGCTGCCCCTGTTGGACTGATCCCAAGAGACACAGATTGCATTCAGAAGAGCAGTTTGTCCTCCTCTAAGCATAAGGAGGCAGGGGAGGTTCAGGTTGGATATAAGGAAAAATACCTTCTCTGAAGAAGTAATGCATTGGCACAGCTGCCAGGGAGGTGGTGAAGTCACCATCCCTGGAGGTGTTCAAGAATTGCAGAGATGTGGCAGTGAGGGACGTGGGTTAGTGGGCATGGTGGGGCTGGTGGTTGGGCTAGATGATCTTGGAGGTCTTTACCAATTTCAATGATTCTATGATTCTGTGTTTCTGTCACCACCTCTAGGTGACAGAAGGTGACCAAGCCCTAGCAGTACCCTTTTGTTTGCTTCCTCTCCTTTCAGCCGCCTGTGTCGCTGGGTATGTACAGGAGCATGTACAAGAAGGAGTACAAATGGCATGAGGAAAACAAACCACCCACTGAGGAGGACGTGAAGGTACTGTGGGCACTTCCTTGCTTTGCTCCTTGCCCTTTGGTGCCAGCTCCCAGCTCTTGGCTATGGGACAGCCAGGGACTGGGCAGGCCTGAGATTGGGTGCGTGCAGATGTGTGAGTCCCTTTGGTTTACTTTTGTCCCTGCTGCTATGACCCACCAGCAGTTCCATCGTCCCCAAATACCCAAGGCCTCTGTCCCCATCCCTTCTGTGGGAAATCCCCCTTGTGCCCTCCAGTGAACGCATTTGGGCGGGCTGTGCTAATTACACTCATTAAGCCAGGGCATTAACAGCTGCATGCTGAACCGCACCTAAGCCTTGGACTCCTATTGCTCCTTGTGGGGCCGATGGAGTGATCAGGATCAGATCCATCCCAGTGCCGCCTTTAGGAGGGGGATTGCATTAGGGATGGAGATGTCTCCATGCCCCGACACGGGCCTGCGAAGGCTTCTGTGGGGAAGCTTACGTTGTTTTCTTTCTAATCCCCTGGCGGTGCGAGTGACCCCCTGAGCTATTTAATCTGATTTGCCGCGCTCCGCCTGCCCTGCCCTAATTGCTTGTGGCAGCCCGGTGGGGACAGCTGTGGTTTGCACCGGGCCACTGCCGAGAAGTGGTGGGGGGCATGTTCGCTTGCTAAAGCACTTTGGGCTCATTCGCTCACGAGAGAGAGGGAAAAAAAAGCATTTGAGCTGGGGAGGGAGAGTGGGCAACAACAGAGGAATCATTGTGTGAAGGTGCCCGCTGGGGCTGTCTGTGCAGGAGGGTGGTGGTGGCTCTCATCCTGCACGTCAGGCTCTGGCCTCACTGCCGTCCTTGGCCCTCTCCTCTCCTCCCCTGTTTCCCGGCTGCCAGCTCCCCTCCTCCTGCCCTTGGGAGCACTCCTGCTGCCAGCAGCCTTCATTAGTGGGGCTCTGCTGGGCTGGCGAGTGCTTCCCGGAAAGCCCAAGCCTCAGGTGGCCTCCAGGAGGGCAGGGTTAACCCCTGCCTGCTGCGGCATGGCGAGAAGCGGTCGTGGTGCCCAATCCACGCACCTCAACTTCTTTTCTTTATTATTACTATTTTTCTTGACAACTTTGGAAGGCTGTATGTATTATGTGGAAGTCCTCGTGGAGTTGGAGGGAGGAAACAACTGAGATGTGACTGCTTTCATTGGGTTGCATCTCCCATTGACTCTTCATTGACCCTCTATTAACTTGCAAGGAAAGCTGTTCCACTGAGCCAAGCGCTGATGAGGTCCTTGGGAAGCCCAAGTTTTGCTTTTGCTTTTGTTAAGTGGATAAAACTACGTGGGGAATTTTCTGTGTGAAATGTGGGGTGATGTCCTGCTGGAAGCTGAAGACATCCTTGGGTTAAGACAGAAAGCACCATCTGCTCTGTCACCCCCACCATAGGTCTCCAGAGGCTCTTGTCCCTCCAGCGATGCCTCATGAGGAGCTCTTGCCATCCTTGTGGGAGGAAACTCCCAAATACAGGTGGTCCCCATAGATCAGCAGCCTCCTTGCCCTGATCTAGGCATGGTGAGGAAGTCACCTTGGACTGAGTGACGGCAGGATTTATGAGGCCAAAGGACAAAGGGAAACTTGTGGAGGTCCAAAGCAAGAAGTCACAGATAGCTGATAGGCAAAACATGGTCCTGGCAGAGCAGAAGTTTCTTTGGCTGAGCCTTTAGCAAGGATCAGTTGGCTCCACACAGAGCTGTAGCATGCAGCTGGAAAGATGCTGAAGCTGGCAGATTCCCTGAGCAGCTGTGCCAGCTGCCACATCAGCCTTCCCTTGCCATGAATCCTTATACGGATCTGTCCCTTCTGCTGGAAAGATCAGCAGCCTTCCTTCCCTGCTTCATGGGTTGTGTTATCATTGCTAATGGTTGAGGAGCTGGCACCCTGCAGTCAGGTCATTGCCTCTTCCATCCTCCTGCTCTGCTCATTGCCTAGGGATGTGCTCATCCACCATGGAAAGACGAGGAAAGATGGAAAGACAAAGGAAGATGGAAAAAAAAGTGGGCAAGAGTGACCAGCCAGAAAATCCCAACATGAAATCAGCTGTGGATTGAGGCCACAACCCGAGAGATCTGGGCTTTGTGCTGTCCTGTTGCAGGTGGTCTCAGTGCCCAGCAAGCCATAAGAAGACAGAAAGAAGAAGACATGAAGACCATCTAAGGGCTGGAGCACCTCTCCTATGAAGAAAGATTGAGAGAGTTGGGCTTGTTCAGCCTGGAGAAGGCTTCAGAGAGACCTCCCTGTACTTGTAGGGAGCTTATAAGCAGGAGGGGAGCGACTATTTATATGATCTAATAGTGACAGGACAAAGGGGAATGGCTTTAAACAAAAAGAGGGGAAATTTAGGTTAGATGTTAGGAAGGAATTCTTTACTCAGAGGGTGGTGAGGGTCTGGCACAGGCTGCCCAGAAGAGCTGTCCTTGGAGGCATTCAGTGCCAGGTTGGATGGGGCCCTGGGCAGCCTGATCTGGGGGGTGGTAACCAGCCTACGGCAGGGGGGTTGGAAGCAGATGATCTTTAAGGTCCCTTCCAACTTAAGCCATTGTATAATTCTAAGAAAGAGGCAGCCTTAATATTCTGTGCATTATTTAATGATACTTGTGTGGCTTCTTTGTGGCTGCGGTGTCCCTGTGGGCAGGTAGCAGTGTTTAGTGATGCTTTAGTAATTGTCCTCCTCACCACGTCTCCACTCACACATGACTTCTTTCTGCAGAAGCTCAGAGCCAAGGAGTTTGCCGTGCCCCAAAAGCCACAGGCAATGCCATACTATGACAAAGCTCTCGGGGAAGGGAGAGATGTCACACAAAGTGAGAAGCAAGAAGGCATTGACCTCAGTCCCAGTGTGCTGCAGCAGGCTCATGAAGAGCAGATAAAGCACTTCAGTTCAGACCTCCCCCTTGCAGAAAGCCGTGCACCAAAGCAGTACCTCACCACTGAACTGGCAGCAACCCAGGCGGACAGACCAGAGAGGCCACAGGCTCTCAGTGGGCAGGAAAAGGAACTGTCTTCTTCCCAGCACCTTCAAGCTGCTGCTGGTGGCCCAGGAGCAACAGGTAATCCCACTCAGCTGGCACCAGGCAGATCCAGCATCTGAGAGCTGTCTGCTGGGCTGTGCTATCCCAAGTCCCCCTGCCCCAGGCTGGCTGGGCACCAATGGGCTGCAGGTTGGCTTAGCAGGGTAGCAGGCTCACGACCTGCTTGTGTGGATTAAAATGCTAATACAAATCCTTGCTAGCACATCAGGAAGACAAAATCAGTGCTCACCATCTGTGCTTGATCTTCAAAAAGCACTGCAGAGCTTCCTCTGAGTTCCAAGGTAGAAGGGAGGAGGGCAGCACTGCTCAGCACCAAGCAGGGGGATATGGGCAGGATGTCCTCTCTGAATTCCCATCTTGCACCATAGGATGTCTGTTTGGAGCTCTCAACTCTCCTCATGGTCAATGGGGAGAAAAGCCACAGATAGTTATTGTAGCCTAAATGCTGCCATGAAGATCCTAGAATCATAGAATCTAGTTGGGAGGGACCCTTAAAGGTCATCTGGTCCATCTCCCCTACAAAGAAGAGGGACAAATACAGCTCCAGCAGGTGCTCAGAGCCCCATCCAGCTTGTCTTTGAATATCTGCAAGGACAGACCATGAAATAGAGTGAATCCTGGCAGGACTTCCCTTTCTCCATGCACTAGAAGGAGAGCTGGGATAAATAGCTCAGATGGACATGTCTCCATTTGGACAGATAACCATTTAAAGATGTCTCTTAACAACTGAAGGCTTCAAGCATCTCCTTGCTGAGCCCATCTTACACTGTATTGTGCTAGTGACACAACTGCTGTGGGCTTTTTCCTTCTTGCTCTACCCCTCTATAGTCCAGCAGTGCTGTATTTCTTGCAAAGTCTCTCATACAATTACCTGCAAAGGGTCTCAGCTCCTTTTAGCACTCCGGAGTGCCATGGAGACAGCATGGCTCCTTCCACTCACTTCACATCACCATAAATCTTTCCCCCATGGGCTTTGTGAACCAAATCAATTCCAAATTGATGCAACTCAGCAAAGCTCTGCTGAAGGGAATGAGTCTTCCCTTGATTTATACCAGCTGAGGCTCCAAGTTGCCGTTGTTATTTGCTTGCTCCCACCCGAGGGCAGGATTTGGGTAATTGATAGATTTTCCTATCTAATGCACTGTTGTCTTCTCTCATTTCTCAGGGATGTTGCTGTATAGGCAGAAGCTGGATCCCACCTGGGGTACCTACCAGCACTTCATGCTGGAGACAGGCCAGGCCCTGCGAGATGAGGCTCAGCAAAACAAGAATGTGGCCCTGTCCTCGTCGGTTTTGGTGGAAGGTCAGTGGGTGGAGGCTGTGGCAGATGACTTCAGCCTGACCTTGGGCTTCTTGAATTTAATGCAGGAAGTGAATGAAGGAGGTGAAGTAAATACAGTGGGAAATGCCTGCAGGATCCCCACAGCCATCCACCTGTTGGTGGGAAGAAGTAAGGCAGGGAAAATAACTTTCATCCAGAAAAGGTTGGAGCATCATAAATAACATCTCTTCCATGCCCATTTTCGTATGGGCCACTCCAGGTGGTTGCAGCTCAAGTTGGTGGGTATGCGTGCATTCTCACTGCTTTGCTGTGAGCGCTGACAGAACGTTTTCTGTAGGCAGGTCCATTTGGTCAGAGGGACACACGTGAAGGAGAGACATGACAGCCCTTCAAGCCAGCTCCTGCAAGGATTTTTGGGGGACAAAAGCAGAGCAGATGTGATGATCCTCACCTGGGGGCTGCCCTCCCTGCATGCATCCCCCCTGGCGTGGGGCTGAGCTGCTGTCCCATCTCCAGATTTCTGTGGTTTCTGCACTAAGAGCAGCCTCTGGCAGCAGATCTACAGCCTGCAGACAGGGTGCATGGTTTTACCACAAAGTCACTGCAAACTGGTTTTATTTGGGGTCACTCATGCACTTATTTCCATACACCAAAGGCACAAAAGGAAATGAGGAAAGAGCTCTGCATGAACACTCAGTTCAGCCACACATCGGTGTCCATGCATCCTCTTGTAGTAACGTTGCACAAGATGGGCTGTGGAGTATTTTTTGTTTTTCTGCAAAGGAACTCATCCTTGTTTTACTCCTGATGAAGTAAGGCAAAGATGTGTTGCTCTGGCATGATAAAAGAGGAAAATGTAGACAGCAGGAGAAAATACATTGCAGCAGACCAGTCAATGTCCACAAGGGACAAGACACCTTGTGTGACTTCCATCATACTTAAGAGGCCATAGGAAATGAGTGCTAAAATATCTCCATCCCTACCAAGGAATCACTTGCATTTTCCCTTGGTTAACTCATGGTCATGGTAGCTCCAATGGGAGTGCTAAGAGCATGAAGTGCTGAAGGAGCTCAGGAGGAGGGGGAATGGTTGGACTACAGGATGCAGGGGATAGAGACCCCCCCCAGAATAGAATTATAGAATCGTTTGAGTTGGGAGGGACTTTGAAAGGCCATCAAGTCCAACTCTCCTGCAGTGAACAGGGGCATCTTCAGCCAGATCAGGTGCTCAGATCCCAATCCACTGTGACCTCTTGATTATTTGTACTCTCCTTCACTAGAGTGCTGTGGCCATGACCGCAGAAGTACCTACAGCACCGACTTCCAGCACCAGCCTGCAGCCTGCACTGGAAGCTGTATAGCAAATAAGAATCTATCTCACATTTTCACTGAAGATGAACGCTTCCACCAGTAAGGGAAAGCTGGGCTGGGGGAATGGGTTGGGAGCAGGGACAGGGTCAGACTAGAAAAGGGCGGTTTTGGAGCTGGTTGGGGTTGGAAGGTGTTTCTCAAGTGTATTTCTCCATGTCTACATTATGCAATGTGTTCAAATGAATTCCCTTAGGGCCACGGCCTTTCACAAGGCTCAACCTTTTCTTGAGAAGTTTTATAGTGGGGTTGGTGTGATCTGGGAAGCTTTTCCTGGGGCAACCATTGACAATTCCCCTCAGGAAGTGGGAACTGAGGTCCCTGCGGGATGGGCACAGGAGGGCACATCTCAGCATTTCGGTGCCTGGGCTTCTCCTGGGAAAGGAAGCTCTTGGATCAGACAGGGCAGGAGCTGTTTGTGAGGTGACTCATCTGCACACTATGAACAAACAGGCATAAACTACTCCTGAGCTCTGATTTCTCACCTGGAAAGGTAATTCCTCCCCGCTGCCTCATCCCCTCACCTCCCCCTAGCATATATATATATATTGCAGATGTACACTGAAGTCTTGATTTTGATTTACGATCTCAGATATAGGTGTGGGCTGCAGATGGAATTGGTGCAATGGTTGACCTAGGTGGGTGACTGGTCCCTGTGACAGTACTCACTCCTCATTACCTTCTCCATGTTCTCTGCAGGAACCACTGGGTGTCTGAGTACAAGGACAACTACAGCATTTACTTGCAGAAGCTGAACTGGGCATCTCGAGGCCACACTGCAGAGCCTGGCTCTGCCTTGAAGCCCCAAGGGCTGCCTTCCCAGAGTGAGGTTTCACCAGACACAGCCCAGTGAGTGCTGCTGCACGGTAAGTGGCAGCATTACCCGTGTCTGTGCTGGGTGACGCTGTGCTGGGGAGTCAGTAGGATTGCAGAGGTTGAGGCAGAGGGATTACAGGGGCACATTCATGAGGTGAAGAGCCAAAGCCTGAGCAGCCTCATTGAGCTGGCCCTGCTTTCAGCAGGCTTGAGCCAGGAAACCTACATTGCATTGTTGTTCTGATTGATGTGAAGATGCATTACCCATGCTGTTTTGTGATTGCAGCTCCCTGTTCTCCAAGCTGAGGGAGATTTTCCACCAGAGATCCTGGAAGCCTGGAAACCTCTATTCCAAACCGCCGTTACCAAATATTTTTAAAGTGTCCAGCAGAAACGTTTTTACACACCTATTTCATGAAGAAACCTGAGCTTTCCTCATTGTCAGAAATAAAAAGGGTTTTTTGGACAGTGCAGAACTAAAAGCACTCATCAAAGTTAAGTTTATGTACTTATTTAAAAAAAAATCTGTGTTCATTTACTGTCTTAAAAGCCTTTTGAATGTTACTGAGAGCAGCCAGCATTGATTTTGCTGTGTGTTTTTGGGGTTTAGGGTGATATCTAGGATTTGTGGAAGGAGCGAGGCTGCTACCAGCCTGAAGGTGGCATTGCAGGGCTGCAGATGCATGGAAGGTTCTGGGAATGGCTGGTGGCCCTGATCCCACCCAACTCTGCTTTGGGATCTTTTGAGTGGGCACCAAAACTGTCCTAGAATAGACAGTGTAGAAACCTTCCTCAGCATCTCAAACATGCTGCTTTTCATGTTTATTTGGTACTTTATTTTTTGTTTATTTGGGCTTGTTTATGGTACTCAAGGATAAGATACTTTGGACGGATACAGACAAAATATGGAAAGATAACGATGACAACCAATAACCGCTTTTACAGTAATATCAAACACACCTAGACCAGGAGCAGGTGGTGATGGCATCTACAGACAAAGCAGCACACTGGTCGCTGCCCCAAGGAACTGACTGTCAAGGGGAATCAGCTCTTCTGCTTCTTTGCATGCCACTGGCGTTTCACTCCATCACCACATCCCAGTGACAATTTTTGCCATTGGGAAAGCCACCTGCTCTCATCAAACAACAAGAAATAATGGCCTTAGGTTATGCCAGGGGAGGTTCAGGTTGAATATTAGGAAAAATTTGTTCTCTGAAGAAGTGATAATGCATTGGAACAGGCTGCCCATGGAAGTTGTGGAATCCCATCCTTGGGAGTGTCCAAGAACTGTGTCAATGTGGCACCAAGGGACATGGTTAGTGGGCATGGTGGGGATGGGTTGATGGTTGGACTTGATCTTAGAGGTCTTTTCCAATCTAAATGATTCTATGATTCTGCTTAGACATGCGATAGAAGGATTCTCAGGCATGGGATGTCACTGATCCAGTCAGCATGGCATTGGATATCATAGAGATTCCCACTGCAGCTGTGTACAATGGGTAGAATTTGGAAAGCAAAAACAATGAAACGGCCTTTACCTTAAAAATAGGAAAAAAATAATACTTTTTCACAACATAAGTTCCAGAATTTGTTTGAATTCTTGGGGAACGGGACCATGAGAGTAGAAATGTTCTTAGTGGGACATGCACTTTTTATTGGTTAAAACAAATCCAATGATCTCACTGATAAGTTTACCTTATGAAAAAACGTCATTATCCTGACTCCCCATGCTGGAGACAGGCTCCTTAGACATGCTGGCATTGCTCCACAGCAACAGTCTGATAGGCAGACAGGGTCTGCGTGGCAATGAATTATGTATGTAAGGTAATTTCAAGTCATCTCCCCTGGGAAAAGAAAAATACGCTACTAATTGCTAATCAACATGGGCAACCATGATGGAAACAAATGTCCAGACTGGACGATGAAGATATCAGAGTACTAACGAAGATGTTCAGTCAGGCAAACTGATGGGGTCCTTAACTGTGTGCTTATCTGCAATGAATGGTAAACCAGCAGGGGCACCTTGGAAGGTCCTCAGCTTCACATTGGCTCCACTAATGTGTGGCACTTTCAGTCCGTGGGTTATTCCTTCTCTCCTGGCAGCTGGGGAACTAAGGCAGATCAAATCACACCTCAGGTGAAAAACACAGAGCCATTGCTCTGGCCACAGAGCATTCTGCTATTTGTTTTCCCAGAATCACATTTGTTTTCTTTCCTATGTTAGTTTTTCCATCCCAAGAGACCTTGCTTTCTGTGGAGGGGCCTTGCACTAGCAACGAAGTCGAATGGAAAGACAAATCAAAACCAACCAACCAAAACCAACAACAACAACAAACCGAAACAGCAGAGGGAAATAAGTGAGAGATGAGTCAGAGTATGGCTGGTGAAGATCAGGATGCATTTTCAAGAAGCGTGTCACCCCAGTACTGCTGGTTGATACTATTGATACTAGGAATATTCCTCCAAAGCATTTGGTGCTGGCCTGTGTCTGAAACCAGGGAAAGCTCCCAGATGGAGGCTGGCTTGATCCCGTTCTCTGGAATGTAGCAGTGAATGTAGTTTGGAGTTTTCTCCTCAGTTCATGCATCACTTCAGGGAAAATAAGTTCTCAGTAGGGCTGAAGTGAAGGATGTTCTGTGAGTGCCTTGGTGCCATCTCCTGGGTGGAAGGGGAAATTCTCCTTTTAGGGGTGAATGTGTGTCCCGACACCCACTTGGTCCTGGCTGTGCAGGCTGTCTCCTGTTAATGGGGTGTGTGAGTGTGGCACTGGGGTATCAAATTGTGCCCCATCCACTTCACTGTCCAATACTTTTTTTCCTTAAGATGCACAGTGAGGATGTCTGCTCTGGGAAAAGGATGCTCCATCCACCGTCATCACCACAGAGTAGCATTTCCCTCTTTTAATTTTGTCTTTTGTGTTTCCAAGCATGGAAGAACAGACTGAATTCTGAACTTACTCCACACGTCCTTTATGGGAGAACTCATTCAAAGTGATTGGGCATTAGTGCAGTAAGGACTGTTAGAAGTGAACTGAACACGGCAGAGCCACAGCAGTGAGATCAGCTTGGTATAATGTGCCATCTGTAAAAGAACAGAGCCAGGTCTCTCCTCAGCTCAGCCACCAACCTAGCAGAAATTATAAGCAAAGGCCAAGAGCCCAACTTAGGAAGCGATGTATTTCAGCAAAACTATTTTTGTTCATTATGGGATGTCAGTCAGAGCCTTGGGAGCAGTATGTCTTTAATGTAACTTAGCCAACGATGGGGCTCAGAAGAGATGGACAGAAAAGACAAGAAGAGAGAAAAGTTTGTGACAAAGCAGCTGATGGCTTGGTAGTTGGCAATAAAGCAACCACTCCTCCCAGTTTTCATCATATGGCCTTTGGAAGACTCAAGCACTGCCATGCTCCCAGGGAAAAATGGTGCCATCCAGCCATGCTTTCCTCCTCACGAGTCAGTTTTACATCAAACCAAGCCTATAAGCATCATTTCCTTCTATTTTTTAACAGTGTCTACTTGAAACACACTATCATATTTGCTGTCTCAGTTTTAATTCTTCCACATCCAGCTGGAAACAGACAGATGTTATGTGCTACTCAGTGGTAGAATGGGATGCCAAAACAATAGGAAAAATAAATAGATTTTAGTTCTCTACAGGCTATTCCAGCAGATGAGACAAGGCTCCTGGCCAAGTTGCTAATAATAAGCCAATTAATTTAGTATGTTTGCAGAGCAAATGGTCACATCAGAAAGCTTCTGATCTAATCAACATTGGAGAGTCTCCCAGCCTGGCTGTGCTAAATGTTAGCACTGTCAATCTCAGTTTGCAGTATGAGATTGCTCTGCATTTACCCAAGGAATGTGCAAGGAGGTCTGGGTCTGGGGAGTGGTGGTGAGTGGGGTTAAATCCAGCTGGCCATTGATCTCAGGTGGTGCTCCTCCTCAGGGGGATTAAGTGCACCCTCAGCAACTTTGCAGATGACATCAAACTGGGAGGAAGTGTTGATCTGCCTGAGGGGAGGTCCTACCAAGGGATCTGGATAGACTGGATCGGGGGGCTGAGGCCAACTGTGTGAAGTTCAACAAGAGCAAGTGCTGGGTCCTGCAAAAATAAAAATAAAAATAAATATTGGTGAAGTAAAGGAAAAACAGATGAGCAGCAGCTGATGGGCCTGGGGAATGTGATAAGCTATCGGTCCATGTGGCACGTGGGGATGGGGTCCTGTGCAAAGAAACCTGGGCATCTTACAAAAAGACCACGAAGCTGGGAGGAGGACTTCAGCAGGGAATGCCCTTGTGCTGTCCATGGAGCAGAGGCCACACTGCCAGCCAATGGCCGTGGCGTTTCAAGGACATTAAGGTGTGCAGGAAGGTGACTGAGGCTCTGTGCAGTGGGATGTGTGCCTGAACCAGATGCTGGCGATGAAACTCTTGGTTCTGTCACTGCATTGGTGCCTGCTCAGTGCTGCCTTGAAACCCAGCCAGCAAGCATGTGAGAGATGGGAGGCATTTATCACTTCTGTTTCTTGCATCTGTTTTCTGGTTGCTTAATAAGAAGCAAATGGTTTGTATTCCAAATGGAGCTGTGCAGCCAGTGTGAGAAATACCAGCTATTAGCTTTGGTGCTTTGGCTTTAAATACAGTTCTTCCTCAAACCAGCCATGGGCACGATGCTGTGTTTGCAGGAAAAAACATCAATGTGCCATTTCTGCTGCAGTTTAGAGTAGTTTGGGAATGGGCTTTGAACTGGAATCAGGTCATCTTCTTTCACTGACACATTTTTAGCTTTCCAGGTAGAGGTCAGGAAAGCAGAAGGTCTTAAGAAAAGACAGTATTTAGTCTTTCAGAAAATTATTATCATAGAATCAGAGAATGGCCTGGGTTGAAAAGGACCACAATGATCATCCAGTTCCAACCCCCTGCCATGTGCAGGGTCACCAACCAGCAGACCAGGCTGCCCAGAGCCACATCCAGCCTGGCCTTGAATGCCTCCAGGGATGGGGCATCCACAGCCTCCTTGGGCAACCTGTTCCAGTGCTTCATCTCCCTCTGTGTGAAAAACTTCCTCCCAAAATTATGGTATTATCCCATTCGTTTTTGACCCAATCTAATCTAACCTCTCATCTATTTCAGAGCAGAGTCAGCTGTCGCTACAGCCACTAGATTTCCAGCAATGCCAGAACAAGATGACATCCATCTCCATTTTTAAATGGCTTTGTCGCCAGAAAAGATTGGGTTTGTTTTGTGAACAAATACTGCTTTGAAGGAATCCCTCTTTCCCCCAGTTTCATCCCCAGAAAGAAGAGGAAACGTGCCTGAATGTGAGCTCCAGCTTCCTGGGGAGAGGCAGAAACCAGAGGCTGGAATGACAGTCACCCACTAAGCCACTTCAGTGCTGCAGAACAGACACCATCCTACATTGCAGAGATGGCTCTTCTGGGACAACCATTGCCTGAGTCACCTCCTGATAAAGCTGCTCCCAGATTCACGTTTTCCATAGTTACTTCACATCCTATAATAGAGGTTTTACTATTT